CCCCAAAACCCCAAAACCCCAAAACCCCAAAACCCCTAAACATAAGTTTAAGATTGAAATAATTAACTTGACAGCTTCTTTAGCATGGAAGCCTTTATTTTAGGATTTTCGATATCATTCAGGGTCTTACAAAAAGCCCTTCCAACATCTTTTAGTTGTTCAGGAGTGAAATGGGTATCCTGGTAGATTCCTTTACTTGCACCGAGGAAGGAGGATTCAAGGGTGAAGGAATTTAATATATTATATTCTCTCCTTACAAAAACTCTTCCTGTGGTTTCTCTATCTTTTTGGACATTAAAGCTACAGTCTTCAAAAGAAAATGTTGGATGTAGTTCACTGAACCTCATAGGAAATATTTTCTCGTAATTCTTCTTATCAGAAGCTTTGTTGCTGCAACCATACATGAAGCAATTATTATTTTCTTGAATGACCATGCACATCAACATACATGAATATTCTTCTGCTTTCTAATGTCTTCTTGAACATGAGTTTCATGTTGTAAATTTCTGGGAAGACTCGAGATGTTGCAGCTATCCACTGACGATTAAGGTCTTGCCCACTAAGTGAGCATCTGTAATTTCCAAGGATCACTCCATCAGGGTTAAGCATCGGAATGATTTTGAAGACATATTTTTCCCTTAATTGTATCGCCTCAACTTCGTCTGAAACAAGGTATTCCAGAATGCCTTCAACTATGAAACTGGAGTTTGATTCCCCTGGGTGAACTCTTCCAGTAATTATGACTGCATCTCTCTGAGAGATGTCCTGCTCTGAACTCAGAAAGTTAGTGATGATGGCTAAATCTAAGCTATTGCCTGCAAGGGATTTTCAAATCTCTGTTTTACGAATTCTATCTTTTTGTGAAACTCTTTCTTCTATAAAATTATGGTGGTTTTTTACCTCTCCTGCTATCAGTTCAGAGATTATCTAAGAATTCCTTACAATCTCTGTAAGTGTATGGGTAATGATGACAGAAGTACACTTCATCATCATTAAAAGGCAGGTCAAAGCTGAATGAGAGAGAGTAAAGGAAGCCAGACCCTGACTTCCTCTTGGTGGTATTCTGGTAATAACAGATATCTTCTCCGATCCTCATCCATCCAACTCCTTCTTTGGCTTCCTTCTTTTTAGAATATATGAGAGGTCTCATCCCTTCGTTATAGATAGACTCTGGCTTGTAGAAGTGGTAGATATTGAACAGGTATTTCTTATCAGACCTTGTATTGGTCACTCTGAAATAGAACCATTGTGTGTATCCTTGTGAGTTATAATCATTACGAAGGATCAAGTCATATTCATAATCCTCAATTTTTACAGCCCTTTTTAAATTTCCTGATTCAAACCTGCTCTCGAATACCAGAGTGGTGTCCTCTTCATTTTCAAGAATATAGTAAGGGTTAAGACTTGTGTAAATCTTGTCTTTATTTGGAATTCCTGTAATACCTTTCTGCCTGCGATAACCTCTGGGATTTATATTAGGATTCACAAAACCTGAATTTTTCTTAGCCTCCAACAGCTTTTTATCATCAATGTAAGGATTAGAGTCTGTGTAAAAAGGACTTTTATCCAGACTGTCATAAACCACCTGTGTTTGTGAGGTGGACTCTAACTTTTTGATCTGCTCTCTTCTCTGGTAGTCCTCTTTCCCCATGATCCTGTAGTTCCATTTATTATCATTCTCATATGCTGATTGACTGAACTTGATGCGTTCAATAGACATGGGGATGTCAACACATAATTTGGGCGTCCATCTGAGATCACCAGCTTGTTTAAGCTTCTGAAGTTCTATGTTATATTGTGTTTTTGAATTATTCAAAGCTGATTTATCTCTCTGTCGTTTGCGCCCATCACGAGATTTGGTAATCCTGGAGTCATTTTCAGCCTTGCTTGGTTTACCTTTACTTATTATGACCATATTTACCTGCTTTATTTTCTAACCAACCCATCTGGCTGACTCGCATCGGAAGTTTTGTTGTTTATACTAGGCAAATTGGCCTCTTTGGTCGCCCTCTGCTTTTTAACTGGAGACTCTTTTGAAAAGGAGGAATTCATCCGATAAACGAATGACTTATTAGAAGACTTTTTAGAGACAATCTGCTCGTTGATGGAAATATGCATGTTCTTCTTGCCTAATATCCTCTTGTCAGTACTTGATTCTGGGGTCTTGCCCACATTCGTACCCTAGAAATTAACATTTTAGTGTACTGGTGTTGAAGAATTTGGCTTATTCCTGATCTTGTTGTACTTTTCTCCAGCAGAGTACTTCTGCTGACCGTCGAGATTCTTCTTGAGAAGTTCCTCTTCATTCTCGAGAATGGCTCGAGCCAAGAGAAGATCCTTATCAGGATTGATCTTAGTCTTGCGAACTTTTCTTTCTTCAATCTTGGAATCTTGAAAGCCTGGGGTAAGATAAGTATTCATGCCAGTATCAGGGATGACTGATTTGTACGCAAAATCTGCCTCATAGCTTTCAACTTTATTTAGAGCTGGAGCTTGTCCTGGTATCGACTCTTTTATCCCTGAATTTAGCTACCTCAGCATTGTAGATCGGAGGCTTATTTGCAGGAATTTGCTTCAGCTTCTTTTGGAAAGGCTTTAGAACTTCCTAGCGATTTAAATTTGTCAGTTTGATGGTTTTGAAATTCAGGAAGTTTCTTTATTTTGATAGCTATTGATTGAAGGAATGCTGAATTATTCTTGTGATCTTGGGAACGCTTCTGTTTATAATGCTATATGGTTATTTCTCTTACGAATTATTATACTGATTTCCTGAGTTGTTCATCTTATTTTTATATTATTCTATAAATACTTGATAATAGGGGTTTTGGGGTTTTGGGGTTTTGGGGTTTTGGGG